TGGAGGAGCTGGCCTTGCTGGGAGGGTATTTCTTTCTGACAGTGATGTCCTGCTAGGGTATTTTTTTTTCAGAGATGGGATTTTGCATCTGGCTTTACTGAAAATGGCAGGGATCAGGCCCTCCTCCCAATTGAGGAAAAAGCAGTCATGTCTCAAATGCCAGCGCTTGCAGAGCTTTTCAGGGTTTCTGGTTCCTTTGCCAATATGGAAATTAATTCCTATAAATCTGTCCCTCAACTAACAGCAAATACCCTGTGAACACCAACAGCTGAGGGACTATACTTAAAATGACACACAAAGTATTTAACCTTGTTTTTCGCACCAGCTAGAAAACCAGACTGCATAGAAAGGGCATTCATCGTTTTATACCAGATGATAATGGAGAGGTTGTGTCAGTGGAGAGGAACGTGGGCTAAACCCAGCCCCGCGGGCTGCAGATCCAAATTGCAGTTTGCTCCAGCACCAGAGAAGGGGGTCAGCAGCGTCTGCTACAGACAGGCATGGCAGAGAGGGGATGGTGGTGCTGGCATCAGAGTGGCCTCACACCACTTCCAAAAACAGGTACAAGCCACCAAAGGGCAGAAGCAGCATCACTGAAAGACGTCCAGAGAGGCTGGGCAGGCTGGAAAGGCTGTGATTGCTGCAGGGCTAAACCAGCCACCCCACTGCTCCTGATGCAAGCATGGCAAGGGACACCAAGGAGTCCCCTTGGGTGGATGTGCCCTGTAACCTGCCAGCACCTGGTCCTGGGAGCTGGTGCCTGCAAGCAGGGTGGTCTTGTCAAGGTCATTGCAGCGTGTTTCCTAGTTAAATAACTGTGGGCAATGAATAAACAGGCCTGGAGCCAAAAAATGTGCTGCCTTTTTGTTGCAGAACTCGTTTACAGACCCAGTGAAACCAGGGACACTTCAGGGTCAGCTGCGGGCCAGCTCTCAACAGTGGACAGAAAAGGTCTGTGTAGAGACGCATGTGGGAATGCGGATTTAGCAGCTCCCAGCTAAGGATGAAACGTCTCCTTGCTGCAGCTGGATTTGCCGGCAGTGCTGTGGCGCCTGGGTCTAAATACCTCGGGGACCCCCCCAGGTGCTGGGATTTATAGCAGTGCCACCAGAGGGTGCCCTAATAATATTTAATGCACGTATGACCCCGCAGCGGAGGTGGCCAGGGGCCCTTGTGGAAGGGAGAAACCTGTGTTATCCTGGACAAGGGGCTGGCAGAGGTTGTGGAAGTACTGTTAATGACACATAGGTGGAGAAAAAAGTAGTGCCTTTTCAAATTGTATTCCTTTTGAATAAAGGCAGGGAAAAGATGACTGCTGTCTTCACCTGCTGCTCTCCATCTCCTTGGCTTGCTCGGCAGAGAAAAGCCCCACCGGGGACCACTGTGCACTGTGCTACAGGGAGATTGAAACCAAGCGGCCCAGGCAGCCCTTGCTCCACTCTTGATCCTTTCCCACGGTGGGTGCTCCACCAGTGAGTGGCCAAGTCCAGCCTGGGGCCCCGAGCTGCTCCCTGAGATCCCTCTAGACACTGAGGGAGCCATGAAGCAGCCAAGCTTGGACCAGCTGCTGGCTTCAGTAGTCCCATGCTGGTAGGCTGCTTGATTTTTCTGCCTTTGATGTTGCTATCAGTGCTACGGGCCCTGCTGTGCAATAGCGCAACACAGCCTCTCTGGGGGCTGCAGCCCAGTTGCTTGCTGCACGTCTGCATGTGGCTGTGCATGTGTGCACCTGTGTGTCCAGACACAGCATGCATATGGGTCTGAGCCCAATCCCCATCAGTGGTGGCTTTGGCACCCGCTTCTGTTCACCGATCGCTCACATGATGGGGAAGCAGCAGAAGCTTTGGAGAGTGTTCAGGCTTGAATCGTTCATGTCCGTGTGTATTCGTGCACGATTAAACTTTCAGGAAAGCAAAACAAATGTGGATGTAAACCCAAATAAGAGAGGCTGCGCTGCATATGGACATTGCTGTGCCAAAGGGCTTAAGAGCTGGGGACACTTGCCATGATGCAGAGAGGGGACAGTCCCTGGTCCTGCTGACCCCTGTCCTTCTGTGCAGTTTGTTAAACAGCACATCCCAGCATGTTTGGCTGATGATGCTTTATATAGAATTTTTTAATGTTCCCCTAATGCTGCATGTTCAGTCACAGTGCATGCTCCATTAGTCTGTGTTTGGTGATATACAGGCCCTGAATGAACAAGCCAGGTGGGTCTCTAGGGGGGGTTTGTACCATCTCTCCTGTGTCCTCATTGCTGCCAGTACCTAAAAGAAGGCAAAAGGAGGTATACAGAGCTTTGCCCAGGGCCAAAGATTCTCTCGCCCTGCAGCACAGGCGGAGAGGTGTCGAGGCCCTTGGGAGTTGCTGGGGAGCAGTGCCAAGGCCAGGAAGAGGACATGAGCCCTGTTCAGAGGAGACCAAGGCGCAGATGGACAAGCCTAGCCAGTGGAGACAATGGAGGTTATGGGGAAATGGCAGTGCTGCCTCGGGCTGCTGCGGTGGGTTCCTGGGGGTTTCCCTGCCAAGTTACTCCTCCAGAGCAGCAAAAACCATACCCATGTGGGTTTCACAGGGCAAGGGGCAGCCCTGGCTGCATCCCAGGTGCAGGGCAGCAAGGACCTCCTGTGGGGCTGGGGAGGGGACCTCTGTGGAGACCTCGGAGCTCTGGGAAGTAAGGATGCCTCCAGTGCCATGCACTGGAGAAGGGCTTCCCAAGGACCCAAACCTGAGGGATTGGGAGGGTCGTAGCACTTTTTGTTCAGCTGAACCCTGTCTGCTCTGTGTTCTCACATGGCCAGGGCTACTGTGAAGGAAACAGAGTTTTCAGCTTCTGAAGAGCCTCTTTGTTTCTCTCCCAGCCACGATCTGAGACCTGGCTTGCATGAGACAAAGTCTCTTCAGGCTATTTCAGATTCCCAGTGTAAAACTTCTGTTTGATCATAAATAAACCTCAAGAAGCCTCATTCATCAAAAGAGAAACTTTGTTCTGGCTGCAGAATACATTGAGGCTCCTGCAGGCTGGAACAACTTAAAAACCCCTTTGCAGTTGGGACAGCTGGGTAATGATCCCTCGGTGTGGAACATCTAGAGACGACGTTAACTGTTAAATATTTTAGGATGTAATTATAATATTGTCTAATGAATAGATGGAATAAACACAGGAATATCTATAGACACTGACTGTGCCGACTGTATGAGCTTTGGACACCTCCCGGCTGTTATCAAATGCTGTGAACCAAGCACAGATGCTGTCTGTCTGCTTTAAGCCCCACAAAAGCGTATCCCAGCATTCCACAGAGCAGCATCATTTTGCATTAAGATGTCTCTCTGCCGGTCAAATGCTCAGCCTCTCTGCAATAGCATCTCTAGACCAACAGTCACTAACATCATGCCTGAGGCTGCAGCCGCTGCAGCAGCTACTCTCTGGCCACATCTTTTATCTTCAAATCCTGGGTAAAGGATTATATTCAATGTCACAAATAAGGACGAAGATATTCAGTAAAACTTAGTCGTAATTACATATTTTTTGTGATTGAATGTATCCATTATTGCTTTCCTGGAGTGTGATTTATTCCTTTGTGCACTGCTGCTTTCTGAAACCCAAGACAGAATAGGGGCTTATGTAGGACTAAGACGTGAGGCCAGAGACTGAGACTGATTTCAGCCTTCACATGAATGATCGCTGCTGTCAGCCAGACCATGGTATTTCTATAAAAATCCCAGTGTCAATATTTGTTCTAAATCAGGCTCTTTCCTTTTGCCTTGACTGGAGTATAACCAAGGGAGCTTATGAAATGCTGTATCGTTTCAAGATTAATTGCTACTGAAAGTTGGAGGATTTGTCTTCCCTGCACAGCCCCCCCCCTCCCTGGGATAATCTCCTCTTGATTTAGTTTTTTTCCTCAAATTCTTTCCCCACAGACAGTGAGTTTCACAAAGGCCAAACTGTCTTCCTCCCCTAAAAACCTGTCTTGTGTGCTACCCCTCCCTGCCTCGTCAGCAGACAAACTGAGGGGGGGGGCATTGATGAAGAGAGATGAATATTTGCTTCTACCGACAAAGTTGGATTATTCCCGCTTTTCAGATGCCATCTGTGTCACGGGGTTTGGTTTGCATTAAATACAGCCTGTGGGCTGCGCTCAGAAAACAGATCGCTGCACTACTATGTTAAATAACCATCCTTAAAGTCTGGTTCATTGGAGAACTTTTTGGTGCACGACGGGGTGCGGTGGGAGGCAGCTCGCTTCCACGTCAGGATGCTGAAATCGGGTTTTAATTTAAGTTTTGCTCACTCTCTCTGTTGGCAGCACTGTCACCTGGGATCCACAGGACTTCTCACCTGCTGTTTGCAGGCAGGGTGATGGCAGCTGGCAGGCAGGCAGGGGTGAGAACCACTCTTCCTGCTGCTGCTGGCTGGGTTAGTGCAGAAAAGGGGCTCTCACTGCCTGTCCCTCTGTCTTTTCTTTCTGTCTCTCCCCAAGCCCTCGATGCTGTGAGCAGTTTCAAACCCACACTGAGCAAATACTCCAAGTTCAGCAACATTTTACATATTGCAAATCACCAGGCACAGACCTGTGTCCTACTGGTTGCAGCTCTGAAGCATCCACACATGCATGCACAATGCAGAAAGGTCCTTTTAATCCTTCTGCCCTGCAGAGGAACGCAGAGATCCAGAGTCATTCATGAACACATGGAGATCCCTGCCCTTCAGTTGTTACAGATAAAGTACACAAAAGTATTTTACCCTTGCAGTACCTCCTCACATTTGTGATCAGTACACGAAGTACAGAGTGCTGCTTCTAGTTGATTTATTTTTGCATACAATGAGGAAAATAACCTGAAGGTTTAATTTGCCTTCTTACCCAAAATATTTGAACTTTAACAACATATTTGTTTTTTTTCCACTAAATATTGCGCTTGCTGTGAGTATATCTACACTAGTCTTCTGCAAGGTCTGTTGGCACCCATGTATTTCCACACCATGTGAGAGGACTCAGCACTCATGAGCTTGAACGGTGCCTCTTTCTTGGTCTCCTCTTCTTTGAAAACTGCGATTTCAGCCAGTTGAAGAAGCCACCTTTTGGTTTCAACTCAAACTCTACTGGGAAGTGGTCACTCACCCCCAGTGCCTGCAAACCAAAGACACAGAGGGGTTGGGAGCCAGCCACCTATGCTCTTTCCAAACCCTGCCCCAGGGGGCTTCACCATGGCAGTGGGGAGGTGGATGTGCAGTGGTGGATGTGGGGAGGTGTAATACAAGCGTTCCTACTTTGTGAGGATGCAATGGTTTTACAGCCAAGACCATGCTCAAAACTGTCTGGGTACCACTGACTTTGCACTCCTGTGTTAGCCTTTGCCCTGCTGCTGCAGAGGCTGTGCTGGGCCTACCTGCTCCTCGGTCATCTGAAAGACATTCTGGAAATCAAAGATGTTGACAGACTGTGGCATAACGGCGTGGACAAGCTTCTGCCCGCTGACCACGATCCTGCAAGAAGCAAGGGAATGGGTGCTATTATGGGGTTCCTGACCAGCATCAGCCATGCTGCACTGAGCTGGTGGCCAGCAAGGTGGCATTGATGGAGTCACACCTATGTATAGTTTGTCCTTACCCATGAGCTGCCTACTGAGAGATGCCAGCTGACTGCTTTCCTTGGCAGTGAGGCACCTAAATATCTTAGTGTGCATTGGCCTTGGAAGCCAACGTAAAATGACTTCTGTCTAAACCCATCACAACAGTGCTGCAAAGTTCAAAGCCATACTTTGGATACAAAAATCATAGGACATCAATGACTGGAGTCTCAGTGAAGCCCTACTTTGATCCAGAAGATTGTTCTGCAAGAGGTTGAAGTCTTGATTTACTCTGGGCTCTAATAAGCAGATGTATTTGTTGTCCCTGCTGAGGGAGCTGCAGGTAGCAGCAGGACTCGACACATGCCTGGGGAAGGCCAGGTGACCCAGCTCCTGAGCAGAACCAGATTTTGCATTTGTCAATCCAAATTATGAATGCAAGTGCAAAAATGATGGTGCAAAGCCAGCACGGAGGAGGCAGCAGCGCCTTCTGCCTGGGTGTCTGCAGGGATACCAGCAGATGAGAAGTGCTGTGTAATTGCCTGTCATTTATCTCTGCCTAAGCCACAACAACAGCTGGTTCTTGCATGAAATCTTGCCTTTTCTGCAAAACTGCTTGCCTACAAGCCTGCAAAGTGCTTTGTGCCCCTGGCTAGAATTATTCAGCCTGGACACTGTTTGATCTTTGAAGGTCTCATGCACAGTCGCTTTATTTGACAGTCACTGACACCTTTCCATATATATTTTTTTCTCAGAAAGTCATAAACAGGGAATGGTTTGGCAGTGAACCCATTACCTGTCATATGGGCAGCTTGTGCTTCTTTTCACTGTTGTGTCATTCTTGTCACCAATTAGCCAGACGAATTCAGAGTAAGTCCTCAGCCGGATGTTCTTCCACTGCTTTTGGGGAACGTAGCTACAACCAGCATTAAAGTCTCCCATTAAGATGAAGTTCTGGAAGGTAGGAGGGTTTCCAAAAGTAATCACTAGGACAGCTCTTCAAGAGAAGACTGGCAAGGACTTTCAGGGCCAATGGATGCTCCTAATAGCCATTGCAGCTCAAATAGCAAGTGCTCATTGAGTGCAGTGGGACTTCTTCTTTCTGCTGGGCACACCACCAAAGCATGCTGATAAAACAGCAGTGTTATTGGGAAATCAAGTTTACTGATTAAAATGTGGAGAACCTGATGAAAATATGTCAAAGAGATACTCAAAACCTGGGGCTTGTTATCAATGGTTTTAAAGTTATCAGGCTGTGAATAGCAAATAGTGTGTCAGGTGACACAGTACCAAAGCCGCTGTTAGTAATGTAGATATGCCAACTAACCTCAGTTTTCCAGCGCTGTTTTACATCTAAATACACATCATAGAGCTCATCAATCTCCCTTACTGCTGTCTCTGGTGTGGTGTGCAGAGGGATTATAGCAAACTCTCTGACAGCTTAAAAACAAGGCAAAAGAATAGGAGAAAATGCAATGGTTAAGCACACACTGAATCACAAAGAAACAGAGATTGACTTGGAAGCAAGAAGGTTTTTCTGAAGAAAATACATCTTCTGTTCTGGTTGTGGATCAGAGGCTATTGCTGTGTAATTGCACAGTGCTCCCCACCAGCTGCCCAGCCAAGGCTGAGCTGCAACGTGGCGAGGTGCTGTGTCAGGGCAAGGCAAACCCAGCTCCAACACCTGCAGCAATAGCTGCTCCCATGGCCATGCCAGTGGCATGGAGCACATCTGCCAAACCACCCCCCATTGCAGCAGCAGAGGCTTTCCTGGGGCGTGCTGAGCTGAGCTGAGCTGAGCTGCTGCGTGAGCTGAGCTGCAGGCGGTGCTGGAGGCAGCAGCCCCAAAGGCAAACATAGCTCTTGTAAGGAAATGCAGCGTGGGGCAGGGTGCACCCCCTTTCGCCCAACTCCGCCACACGCTGGGTCCAGCTGGCACCATCTCACTCCATGAGACTTGCCAGTGGGAGAACAATTTGTTTCTGGAATGTCTCACCAGTTTTTGGAGACTGGAACCAGATAGTGAAGGGCTCTCTGGAGAAGGCATCCTCATCCCCAGGCTGGGTGTCAGGGTACTGGTAGGTTTCTTTCACCGATACCAGATGCTTCCTGCAGCAGAATAAACAGGATAGGGGATGTCACGCTCGTGGATCATTGGGACATGTCTAATACTGACTCTGTGCTCTGACCCAGACCCTGAGCCATGGTCTGGGACAGATGCAGCCACAGTGGCGGCTGCTCCTAGGACAATCCCCACACCCAGGCACAGCCCGTCCCACCCACGCAACCTGCACCTCTCCGGCTCCCTCGGAGCGAAGCCATCACCACCATGTCCAGCCCATCTCTACAGGGCTGCAGCCCAGGAGGGCAGGGTAAGGGGATGGCTCGTTGGCAAGGGGAGCTCACTCACCTGTAGATAAAGGCGTACTGCTCCTTGTAGCTTTTCCTTCCCAGCCTCTCGCTGACCACACAGCTGTGTTCCTCCTTTGGCCCCTTCAGATGACTGGAAGGAAAGTGGTGTTCCTGAGTTTGTTTCTGCATTCACAAGGGGCTGAGGAGGAGATAATTTTGCCTGTGCCCAAGGGTAAGGGACGTTGCCTGCCTAACCTCAAAGGCGGGAGGTAAAGACAAAAAAAACCCTTCTCTGGACCTGTGCTCTATTGTTGGCTCTTTCACTCTACCCTCTCCCTGCTTATTGCAGTCTGTCTCTATTTCAGCTGGGTCTCATGTCCAGCCAGGCATAGGCTGCTCTTTCCACTGGACTGTCAGTCCAGGCAGGCAATCCCCAATCTAAAGCAATTCCTAACCCTGCAGAAAGAAGCTGCCCTGCTGCAGCCTGCTGGTAGCCAGGAGAGGGCCTTTCCCTCCCTTCTGTTTTGAGAATTAATCTTTAACAAATTGAATCTAACTTAGTTATTTTGATTTAAAAATATGTGTCCTACAGTGGTCTGGAGCTGGCTTTGCTCCCGGCCTTCAGTGAGGCTGCCAGAGCCTGGTCCTTCCTCAATGGCTGGTACAGAGCCCAGACCCTGAGCTTTCACCCCAGCAAGGCGGTGCTGAGCAGAGCACGGGCTCTTGCCAAGCATCTTTCCCAATACTTGCCTACTTGCCCATGGCCACCCTACCTGGTGAGCTTCTCCACCAGAAGAGGGCAAACCTGGTTCTTGTTCTCCTTTATTTCCATGAGCAACGTGATGTCGCAGCGGGAAATGATCTGCAAGAGGAAAATGCAGAAGCAAATTTGCACGCAGTGTGTTTTGGAGGATTAGAAACAGGTTAGAAAGAAGCGGTTACTGGTGCAGAAGAAGTCCTTTGTGGAAGACATGGCACCCAACCTGGGGTCGTGGGAGGAGGGCAGTGGCCAAAGCAAAGACTTTCTGCTTTCAGCACTGCCTCACACCCTCGTGGGAGCTGGGAGAGGGAACTCAAGAGCAGAGAAGTTTCGAGTTTATTGAAAAACTCCTGCGCCTGCCCCTGAGGAGGATGTCGGGGCGGGAAGGGGCAGTGAGAGCTGGTGCTGCGAGCCTGCTCTCCCCCTGCCACTGCTGCGGTGCTGTCCCTGGCTCCCCACTCCATGGTTGGTCACGTTTTTCTCTCCTCCCTGTCCCTTGGCAAGAAGGTTTTCTTCTCTGCTTCAGACCGGTGCTGCACACAAGCATCCCAACTCACTCAGTGCCTAGATGGATGTAGCAGGAGGGTTTGGGGGGCATTGAGGAGAACCTATTCACATCTATCACCAATCCACTGCAACAATTTCCATCCTTTTTCTGGTGCATACACCCCTAAGTTCCTATCGCTATGCCAAGCCTTCCGAAAGCTGCGTGTGCTGTCAGCATTCACCTGTCCCACTCATCTGTTTCAGACCCCTCTGAAATAGCCCACAGAGCTCAAAATGACCCCTGGTCTGAAAACAGGATCCCAGCATCCATGGGCTGCAGCACCGCAGAGGAGCTGCAGGGTGCTGGGGAGAGCGGGGGAGGCTGCCCCAGCCCGGCTCAGCTCCACGGCCGGCGCTGGGATTCCCCATGGAAAAGCCTGGCTCAGTCTGCAGCCCGGCATGCTCCGGGTCTTCCTTCTGCCCCCCGTTTTGTTGTTCTTCAAACTTTGTAGGTGATGTTTGGGGGAAAAAAAGCCCCTTTTACTGTCTGAAACTTGCAGAAATTAATATGTTGCCTATAATTTAGCATATATCACCCATAGTGCTGACAGTATAGGAAGAACGGTCCAGAAATGCAAACCCCAGAAAACCCCTCTTCTCCAGCTGTTTGTAATGAAAGAATTAAAGCCCAGCTAAGCAGTAGCATTCCTCGTTGCTGCCATTTGGTGCACACAGCCATCCCACTAACAGCGAGCACCGTGTCCTCCAGTACCATGACACCTTTGAGGGCACTTGCAACAGCTACAAGTCCAAAACATGGTTCTTTTAAAAAGCTGGTTTATCTTCAGCTGCTGCAGAGGAAGCCGGATGGTGAGGGTTTGTTTACCTAAATTAGCAATCAGGCTTTTCAATTTTGTATCACACTCTAATATGATACTCTCTGCTGTCCTGAGAATATGTTTCATCAAACAAGAATATTTCAGAGTAATTAGCCATAAGCAAGGTAAATAATGTATCACAAAACAAATCTCTGTGGATTCAAAGTGAAAATTATTTTCACTGTGCACAGAGATTTTCCTCCTTTCCTAACTCCATTTCCAAAGGAAACAGCAAATGTTGTTTCTGTTATATTCCCATGCAAGCTACAACAACAGCAAACATCCTACTGAACCACAGGCTGATTTTTACTTTAAGAATATAAAATTATTTAAATTATTCACTCCTTTTGTTTTTTTTTTACTTGAAATTTAACTGTGAAAATATAAATAAAGTGCAAGAATATGGAGCTATGAAATCCTCAGAAAGCTCAATGTCTGTCTCATCCAGGCAAATGAACGTACCTTTACCACAGCATCGACAACTTCAGGTCTGGCAATTTTAGTTTCTCCAAAAGACCTTACGTTGAAGGAGCAGATTTTTAGGCTCAGAGATGGGTTGAAATTGAGGAGTGAAAGCAAGATGAAAAGCAACATCTTCAGGGACTTGGACAAAATGAGTTGCTGTGAGTGTGCCTATAAATATATATGTGTGCGTGTGTGTGTTTGTGCATCCGTCCGTCTGTGGCCAGCTGGGAGGTGAAACTGAGCAGTCAGCTGTGTTGATCACGAACATCAACAGGAATCACTGTTTCCTCCTTTCCCTCCCTTCCAGCTCAAAGCAGCATGGAGACTTTGAACTTCTGCCTTGGGGGAAAACCAGCTCTTCTGAGCCAACCTCCCCATCCTGGGGGAGCAACTGCTCTGCCAGACCCCAGCATCCCTCCCCACAGGAGGCACCCTGGGCAGTGCTGGGCCAGGACCAGGCTCCCTGGGCCACCCCAGGTGAGAGATCAAGGCCAGGAGGCGGATGGGGCAGATAGTGAAAGGGTCTGGGAAGCAACAGTGGGTAGAGGGGGGTTTCTGGAGGGCACTGGTGATGGCCACTGGAAGCCATGGTGAGCACCAGAAGCCCCAGTGAAAGGCAATGGTGGTGGGACCTCCTGGACATGGAGGTTTTGCCCATGTCCATATTTTGCCCTGCTTTCACCGTGGTCAGAAAGCCACACTGTGAGAAAGCAATGAGCTGTCCATTGCCCCAGGCCACGCTCTTTTACTTGCTTCTCCCTTCACCCAGAGCTGTGACATCCCCTGCTGTGGGAAAGCCACATTTGTCCGCCCGAAGCTAACGGGGCCCCCTGGCTCAGCCACTGCAGTGCAGCTGCAGGAAGGTACGTGATGACCCCAGCGCTGCCCTCCAAACACCAGCACAGCAGTCTTGGGCTGGTGACCCAAGGTGCGCGCACATGGGTCTGGCAGAAGGGGACGCACAAGTTTGGCCAAGGTGACGCTCAAGTGAGGATGCTGCAGCTAGGGTGTCTTTTGCAGCAAAACTGTCCCCCTTCCCTCCTCCATCGTGTTCCAGCCCTTGGCTGGAGATGCATTTGTCAGCCCCTGATCTGGTACAATGGTAGGAGGTATAACAAGAAGTTGAGCTAAATGGCATCTTCAAGTGTCTTGGATTTTTCTCCCTGTGCTTACAGGGTGCTTTCACATCCGCTCTCCTTTTCCTGAAAACAGTCACGAAGGCTGCATGCACCCTGCTGCCCTGCCTGCACAGCTGCCTGTGCAGATCCAGATCCAGAAGTACCAGTGCATGGCTCCTGACCCTGTCTAAATCAACTAAACAGGGTCAGATGGAGATGGCATGAAATGCAGCGCATGGGGGGGCTCCCAAAAATGCAGCACAGCTGACCGCAGTGAGATCCCAGTCTTGCTGGGGAGGCAGCTGCAGCTCTCTGGGGTGTGTGCTGCAAGCACGAAGGATGGGAATGGGCACCACAGATCCATTTTGGCTAGGCAGGGATTTGGAGCAATTGCTGCTAGCGAGGAGCGTGCTGCCGTGCTGCCTTGGTGCTTTCTGACAAACACAGCTACTTGTAGATCCGGTGTGTGACCCTCCAAAGTAACAGGGGTTGTACAGTTCTTCCTTTCCGCTGGGTCTCTAATGAGCCAGCCTTGGGCAGGACAGGCTCTGAAGGAAACTGATAAAGAGGGAGGGAAAGCAACAGCTTTAGGGGTTGTAAATCTCCTCCCCGACCTTGCTAAAAGCACAACGTGAGCCAAGGGCTTGCGACGGCAGCTGCAGCCTCGGGGTCTGAGTCATGAAAACCCAGTGCTCCCCCCAAAACCAGGCTCGCTTTGGCTACCCTGAGTCAAAAAGCAAATGTTTGTTTTGGTGCCTATGGGGCATTTAACCCTGAACCACAAGGACCTGCCTTCATCGATGCTGTGTTTGTCCCCAGGACTGCTCACTTATCAGCCTTCCCTTTCCCCTCCACCCCAGGCGCTATCAGCAGGACAGGCAGAGCCATGCTCTGTAGGGACAGGCAGCAGCGAGGTGACCTGTGGGAGAGAACACAGGGAGCTCACACTCATTTCTGCTTTATGTGTTTACTGCAGTCTGCGCATGTACTCTCTGCTCCTTATCAGGCCATAAAACCCACTCCATGTGGGCTCATGAACCCTGCCAGTTCAGGGCTGTCCTGGTCTTGCGCAAGAGGAGTGACGCTGCTGGTGAAACCAACCTGGGTTGGGTTCTTTGTCCCTGCCCTGAGAGATGCTGGGTGAGGCACACCACCTCCAGCTGAGCAGCACCTGTGGGACGTTCCCTAACAGAGCTCTTCCTCAGCCTCTCCCTGCTCCTAGGGGAGAAGAGACAGGTGATGAGGCAGCAGGCAGCTCTTGGGCAAGAGCGTAGAGTAGTGTGTAGGTGCTGCCAGGCCCTGCCTGCTCCTCCTCCTCCTCCTGATGGCCCTTCAGCCAGGCTTTGTTGACAGCCTGTGCTGGGCACACGGGGTGCGGCTGGTGCACTACTGTCTCTGGAGCAGCAATCCAGGCCTCCATGATCTTTCCACTCCCAGGAAGGTGCTGAGGGATGGATGGGGTGGGATGTGTCCCAATGTCTTATGCCTACTTAGGTTCCCCATGGGACAACGGGGGTGTGAGGGACTGGCAGCAATGTGGGGGTTCCTCCTCTTCCAATTCCTTCCAGCCACAGCCACAGTGGCCTTGCAGGGCATCCGCAGCTTTGTTTTTGCTGGCAGAGTTGGACTGAGAGGATCTCTGATGTTTCCTGTGCCTCCGTAGGAGAGCTGCAGTGAGAGACCGCAGGCGAGCCCACATCCCCTTCTGCTCTGGCAGAGGAAGCCTGCTCTGGGCTTGAAGGGCGGTGTGACTCATGGGGTGCCCCATGGCAGGGGGAGTACCTGTGGGGCATAAGACTGCCCATGGACTTTGTGTCATGCCTGAAAATAACAACGCTGAACCTTTATTTCTCCCCCTGTGGGCAAAACATGGTGGCTGTGTGCTGGCTGGGGGTTTAGCACTGCTGGGGACGCCAGCACCCCTGTGCACCTTCTGCAAAGGGTGCAGAGGCTGGTCCAGCCTGTCAGAGCCCCAGCCCGTCAGGGTGTCCCTGCTGCCCCATTCAGCACGCCCATAAGCCTATCCCTGCAAAGGGGACCGAGTGGCTCTGGGGAAGCACTGGTAGCATGGGCAGATGGTGGTGTTGGGGTGGGAGGGGGCAGTGTGAGGACTGGTACCTCCAGGCTGGTGCTACCCAGATGCCACCACCGCTCTGTTTTCAGGACAAGGGACCCGCACCCTCCCTTTCCCATGTGCCAGGCTTTAAGGTGTTGGGTGTTTCTTAATTTTTATAATTTTTACCCAAATTGCAGCTCTGTCAACATCCGCTGTGGTGAGGGGAGGTCTGTGGGAGAAGCGGGCAGGGCCAGCGCCGAAGTCACCAACATCACCATAAAAGTATGTTCCTTTGGGCAGATGAAATGGCCTTTGGGCTCTGGGTGACCTTATCACAACCATTGCACAGAGTATTTTGTCACAGTCTCCTGGAATTCCAAGTTAATAAGTAGCAAAGCACTCAGATAATTTTGTGATGCTAAAGTTCACAACTGGGCTGCAGACCAAATATGGTCATTTGGGAAGTGGCTTCAGTGAGAGTCTAATGGTAATAAGTATCCTGGCATGACCCTCTGGAAATCCAGTATAATTGAGGGTAAAAATATGTGGTGTGCAAGATACATAGTGTGTTTTGAATCAAGAGGGTCTTCTTTGATACTTAATCTTTATTTATAATTCTGGAAGGTACATGTTCTACTTAATAAATTACTGTCAGGGCATAATTCCTTTGCTGGTACAGGACTCTGATAGGGTTTTCTTTTTCAACTTAATACTTCAGTGTTGCTCAAGTAGTGGTTTAAAGTGTGAAAGCCTACCCACTAAAGCAGTTCAAGGAAAAATGCCTCATCATGTTTTCAGTTTCTTGAACAAGGCCACTTAACTGAGACATAGGAGAGCACGCAGTAATCTGAAGTAAGGCCTTTGACGCAGGACGATTAGAAAAGGCTTGCTTTGAAGTTACCCCCTGTAAAGATATTGCAGCCACAAAATAAGGAGTTTTTTGTGACAATAAGTACACCCTTATTGTTAGCAGTTAAAGGTGTAATTAAAAAGGGTGTAATATCTGCATTAACTTTGAGTAGAGTTAAGAAAGTATTATTTAAAGCTGTTAACAGGCAAGTAGGTCTTGCTTTATAACACTTTAAAAGTCAGGAGCGGTTTTTCCTGTGTTTGTCCCAGGTTGTGCAATGAAGCCACTGAAGAGTGATGAGGTGGCTGCCCAGAGTGGTGCTCAGAGGCACAGTGCTCACTGAGAGCTGCTATTTGCAAACCTGGGTGAGCTGAGATCTTATCCCTGCCCTGGGGGGTGAGTTTTGGCCGCTGTATGTCATCAAAGGTGCCCTCTGCTCGGGAGCATGCAAGGCGTTCCTCAACAGCAGGTCCCATGGGCAGGCTTTGGGGCTGTGCCGGGTTTGTGGGGCACCCACCTGCACCGGTGCTCTTCCACGCCGACGGTCCGCTGAGGATTGATGTCAGCATTGTGCCACAGGGTCAACACTGCATGAGTGGAAATAGATGGGGACGAGTCACCCTGGGAAGATGATTCACTTCACCAAAGCGGCATGCCATCACTTGTTATGGCTGCAAACAATCCCGCCGTGATCACTGGGGATTCATCACTCAGCAGTGGAAAATAACACAGAAGCCTTTCATCTGGTGGAGCAACAGTGGTCCTCAGCTTGGTGAGGTAGAAGCTTCAGTTGTCCACGGCTACCCTGGCCTGAGTCCAACCAGAGTTTCCACCTTCCTATGGGAAACAAGACAGTTTATGTGAAAGTCTCATTGCCTTGTTTCTGGGGACATAGGACACCTAATTCTGATTATTTTTAATATATCTTTTTTCCTGTGGCTACTCTGATTTAGAAACACATTTTGTTTCTAAGTGGATCATAAGTCATCCTCTGCCCCGCTCACAGCATCGAAGCTCCTGTGTCAGTGGGAAGTCCCGCTCCTGACTTTCGCATTAGGAATGAGGAATTTTCAGCTGAGGGCCAGGATAGCTGGTCGAAACACCA